AAACCCTAAACCCTAAACCATTTTAAGGAGCTTCTGAGGCTCAAGGGCTCTCCCCGGACGATTCCGGACCGTACGAGGATGGTTCCTGGGATCCTCAGGCCAAGAGTGTAGCTTAGGGCTTAGGATTGGGGTTTAGGGNNTAGGGTCTAGGGTTTAGGGTTAGGATTGGCCCAGAAACCGTGAGTTGAGTGCCAAAAGGGGCGGGCGGGGGGGGGGGTGTTCTTAAAATTAGGGGGAACCTTGCCCGTGCCGGGAAGCCTCAACCTTCAGCCATACCCGACCCGTAACCCAAAACGTCCAAAACCAGTATCCATGCAACCTTCACTTAATTACCGGGTTTAGGATATCGGCAGATCTCAAAAAAGCGTGTTTCTTGTAACTGGGACCCTATAGCAGACATATCAGGAAGCATGAAACTGTTAACGGCGGTCACAAGCTGCAACAAGATCGACATCAAGGTCCAACAGAGGGTAGTTGATGTGCTCAGGTACAGCCTAATCCTAAACCCTAACTAAACTTCTAAACCCTAAATCAAGTAGGTAGTGACAGCTGAAACCACAGGTTGCGCCTCCCAACACGGGGGTCTGTTGGCTCTCAGCGCTCGCTGTGAGCAAGCCTTGCCGCTCCTGTAGGGTTTCGGGACCGCACCCCCTTAAAGCAAAGAGCAATCGTAAATCACATGAAGGACCCCTCCCTGCTTCGAGGTATCCTGCTTAAGGAACCCGAAACCCTACCCTAAACCCTAAACTCTAAACCCTAAGCCCTAAACCCTATAACAACCCCTATAGAGGCTTGTTGGAGTCTCTGGGTGCGGGTATCGGCTTCCTTGCTTGGGGTCCGGCAAGAATCACCTCTCGATTCTAGACACCGCAAGGCATCCGTAGTAATTCAAGGCTTTATATAGGCGTAAGATATTGCATGTCCCGCCCGCGATCGCGAGTACACCGCGGGAGATCTAGATGAGGCATGTTTTGAATCTGTGGATCACAGAACTTACCAAGGGCGACGGTGCGTCGACTAATTCAGGGCACTTGATGCTGAACTTCGGGGGGGGCACTTGTCCAAATACCTGTTCCCATAAGGTACCTTCCGTTTAGGTTAGGGTCTCTCCATCACGAAGCGTACTCCCAATGGTCGCTCTTGGAAAACCACCATTTTCAGCAAGCCCCAACGCTAAACATCCCTAAACCGTCTCAGCTCACCTTGCGCTTTTCACTCGAAGGTTTACAAGATGAAGGACTGTCCATTGTGATTGGTGGTGTAGCTGCAAACGGTTCAGGTGTTGGGTTTGAGGGTTTCGGGTTTGCGGCTGTTGGCGCTGAAAAGTAGGCTTATTTCCGATATCCCCAGATTGATCCCGAAATCAACAACAACCGTGCCCAATACAGGAGACCTGTCTACCCTAGCCGAAAATCCAACGACCTAATTCATGCGCACCCCTTCCATGCAATACCGACACCGGTGATCTCAGGCAGACACTTCACGCGATGGTCTACCTTTGGTGTGCGAAGCCACATCTCAAAGTAACACTCCAAGACTGTAAACTCGAGAAAAACGACTTCGAAGAATGAAGATCCTGATGTAGGGGCCTGAATAATCAGAATAGGGTTTTGGGCTCCTGTACAATATCATTATAGTAAGTAGCCCTAAGGAATGTTATTGGTAATTATTGAGACGTCTGTATTATGCCGCAGCAATGCACGCTCTCCCTTCCCCCATGGCTTTTGGCCAAAGGCTCCTCAGGCTGTGATGTTGTCATGGCCCGTTCAAGGAAGGCAGCAGACTGCTACTGGCACAGCTCTCCGATGTCGAGCCCCTCAGCCCGCAAAAAACCGATCCCAAATCCCGAACCCTGGAGCCCTAGAGATTGAGACGCAGCCCAGCAAAACAACCAAAAAACAAGCTACGAATGCAGTGTCACTGCTGAGCCGAAAGATGTGTCGCAGAGAAGCAATGAGCTCTGAAACGCTGATATTAGGGCCTTCATACTTAGAGTAGGGTGCCTTAAACTTGTGCCTTCAATAAGAGCTCTATGAAGGATTTGAGGGAATATAAAACTTCATACTTGGAATAGGGTTTAGGGTTTAGGGTTTACGGTCTAGGGAGTTAGCGATTTGGGGTTTAGCGGTTTACGCTTTAGGGTTTAGGGAGGTTTTGGGGTCTGAAGGTTTCACTGTTTTACAAGTACAACTGCAAAGTGGCTCCAGGGGAATGTTGTTAATGATGTTTCCGACCCATCTTGTAGATGGGAGTGGGTTACAAACTGACCAAAAAGCTGCGAAGGTTAGTGCTGCACTATAGCAACCCAGGAAATCCTAAACCCTAAACCATCTACTGTCGGGTTTCGGGTTGAGTCTTCCTTTGCTCTAAAAGCTTGCAAGCTGGGGTTCTCGGGTTGAGAATACAATCCATGGCCGACACATAAAACACCAGCCACCATGCAGCTTCTAGGCCTGAGGCCTAGACTCTGTTCTTCAACAACCAGGCCCAAAAAAGTTCGAACTTTTTAGGATAGACCAAATATAAAAGGCCAAAAAGGTTAAAGTTCTCCTATTGGCTAACTAAGTAGAAAGACTAGACTTCATACTAACACCGACAGCCCCCAATCCCGAAAATCCCAAGCCGCAAGCCCTAAACCCGACCCTACTGGTGAAACCCTAAAGCCCAAAGCCCTACAACCGAAACCCCTTCAAAGGCTAAGCATGAAGCCGAGGTGGGGCTCATGTTGCAGAGGCTTATAGTAAACCCCAGGTTGGAAACCGGATTAAGGACAACCGGTGCTGGGATTCCCTATACATTACCTAAACCCTAAACCCTAAACCCTAAACCGTAGTACTCTTAAGGACTGAGGCCTTATGGGTTTCCAACTCTTGGGCTTCTACTGTAGGGCCTTGAGGAGCTAGGTCGGCTTAGGGGTTTTGGGGTTTAGGGCTTTGAGGCTTAGGGGCTGCAAGAGCCTAGGTCTTTGGGGGTTTAAGGCTTTTGGGGTTTTCGGGCTTTCTCGGGCTGTATGGCTGCAGGGTTGTAGGGTTCAGGTTTTCGGGTTTTTAGGGGTCAGGGCTTGAGGGCTATGTTTGGGGGTTATCAGGGCTTGCAATCATCCTAGCAAGTCAGTATCAGGCCAGAAGACCCCTGCAATGCAGCCATCGGAACCTCTGCAGAACTCGGCTGCCCACATAGCGGAGGCATGAACGTGGGCTGATTAGCCTTCATTGTATTTTGTCTAGCCAGAAAATCTACAGTCGGTTCTTCAACTCGCTTCGCGCCGATGCGTCTATCAAGTCCCTAAGCTGGCAACCCTAAAGTGTCCGACTGTCACGCAGCCTTTGCTTGAATCTTGATGGTGCTCACAGCTTCTGTCAAGCCCTGGTGTGGCTGCATGGCGGCGTACTGACAATGCACCGTGAACGGTTTGGGGTTTAGGGTTTCTGCAGTTTCTTGAACCTGCGACTGCAGGACGTCCTGTACAGCTGACAGACTCAAGTACCCTATACCCTTCCAAGCCTTACATCCTACACCCGGTCCCACACACTGAAACCAAATCATCCATCCATGCCTCCGGGCCTGTGCATCGTCTGTGCTTTTTCCCAGTCCGCTGAAGCCTCAAACCCCACTACAAACCTTAACCCTACTAATGTAGGGGCCTTAATAATTAGAATAGGGTTTTTGGGCGGATGATACTACAAGTATAATAAGGAACCCCCAAAATAGTATTGGTAACTATTTAGGCTCCCACATTAGTCACCGCTTCCCTCTGAGTAAGGCCGATTTTACCGCCACCTATGTGAACCCCCGCGGAGCCACAAAGGACGAGGCCATTTCATACAGGGGCCATGATACTTAGAACGAAGCTTTGGGGTGCATTGTACTATGATTGTATCAGAACCTCAGGAGTAGCATCAGCGATTCTACAATCTTACAAGCTGCCAGGTTTCAACGCCCGGATGCACCGACGGCTAAATCACAAACCCTGCGCCCTCTAAGCGGATAACAAAGTTACTGAGCCCCGGCATTGGTCTTTGTTGGACGCCAAGGCTGCACAACAACAACGGGATCCGTGCGCGATGACTTGCTACAACCATCGCAATGGCTCGGTTCGGGAGTCAGGCAGCCGGCTTGCAGATTCAGATTCTACCTTAACGGTAACCAACCAAAACCCACTTTCTGTAGGTTCTTATTGAAACCCTGATGTGGGATTTACAAGGACCCTACCAAAAAAGTAGGTTCTGGTGGTTTAAGGTATGGGGTGAAGATTGACCGGATTCAACAAATGCCCCGAATCTCAACAACCTCCCACTTTTCCCAAACCCAAAGGGTCTTTTGTTTGTAAAAGCACCCTTTTTCTCTGCATTTTGGGTTTGAGGTTTAGGGCAAAAGTGCAGAAGGCCATCTTAATCTCCTCCACGCAGGGTTTTTAGGAGCTGACATGAGGCAGCATTAGCTTTCTCTCGAAGCCCCCACCAGAATACGGACTTCGTTGCCAGTGTTTGTGGGTTG